GGTTTACTTTCAATTCACAAAGCAATGGCCTCTTACAGTGTTTGTTTTGATTCAAGAAGCAAGGGCCTCTTGCCTGCTTGCTTCAATTCACAAGGCAGGAACCTCCCTCATGCTAGCACCCACAAGGAATTGGCTATGTTCACACTATCTTGGACTGGACAATATCTCCCCTTGAAATAAGCTTGCTTCGATTCCACCCATGAAAACCTCCAACACACATAGTTGGTGGCCCATTCGAAGGACATGCATTGGTGGATTTAAAAGACATACCTGGGTGTCCCATTCGAAGGACATATTTTGGTAGGCCATTCAAGGGGCATGCATTTTTGTCCCCTTAGAAGGATGCATGTTTGGCCTCTTCAGAAGATACACATATGATTCATTCGAAGGACACACTTTGGATGGAAACAAATATTGTTGTCTGAAGATAGATTATGGTCGAAGGTTGGACCTATGAGGTCAAAACAAAAGGTTGAAATATTCAAAGATGCTTGCTGGCCAGAGTCTTATGTGCTACTAAGTCCAAGCCTGCTGCACTGGCCACAACGCTCCAAAACTTCTGCAAAGCAGTCCTGCTACGCTGCTCCCATACTTGAACCAAATTGGCATACAAAAACTGCACCTCGAAGACTACAAGAACAGTTTACCCAATTTTTTCAAATTTCTTTTGTTTTCCCCCCCAAACCTCAGTCAACTTCATCTATAAATAAGAAGTTACATCACACATCTAACGAGGGCCTTTTGGTAGCTAAAGAAACATTTATGGTGTGAAAAGAATCATTACACGCTCTCAAATTCTCAAACTCTCAAACTATCAAACTCTCAAACTCTCACAAAAATCTCAAATCCCTTCATACATTATTCAATCCAGAATAAAAAAAGAAACACTACAAGTTTTTTCTTTCTTTCGAATTCAAGTTTTCCTTGCCCTTCGAATAGCCTCTTTCCTTCCTTCGAATCCAAGAGTATACCAGGGCAGCAACTCCAGTCCAAAACCCACATTCCAGCTTCAAGCAAGGTAAGTCCTCTTAACCTTAAAACTTTTGTTTCAAGCATAACATGTAAATAACCATTTCCTTTCATTTCAAACATCATTATTACCCTTTGGTTTGTTTTCATTTCCACCTTTTCTGTTTGTTTTCGTTTCTAATCTTTTGGTTTGTTTTCTTTGTTTGTCAAACACATTTTAAGAACTAACCTGACCATGAAACAGTATTAGCATGGCTTCAAACCATGCTACTATTTAATCCCAAACGAGAGAAAATAGGAAGAAGGTTGTGTGAATCGAAGCCTTAGGCTTCGCCCCATGCTGCTATCTGACACCAAATGAAAGGAAACGAAAATAAAGGTGGTGTAAATCGAAGGTTACAGACTTCGATACACACTGGTTACAAGCCCCAAACGAAACAAAGCAAAAAAAGGGTGAATCGAAGGGTGCATGCTCACACTGACTTTCAGGCCCAATCGAAAGAAGCCAGAAAGAGTTGAGTTGAAGGGCGCTTACTGCCTGGATCGAAGAACTTGTTTTCCCTTCTTTTATTTTGTTTTGTTTTTTACATTTTCTTGCTGTTCAATATGGTTGTAATAGCGTAGGACCTTTATTTTCTGCATTTTTATTGCTTTCATAAATGTTAGTAACTAGGGTATGTATGGCAAGATTAAAACCAATGCTTAGACCACCCTAATCAAAGACAAAAATGCATGCAATCAAAACACACTACACACACATGGACCTCTAGGATAATCTCACTTGTTTCCTCGAAAAATAGTCATGTCCCTCGAACATGAGCGTTTTAGAAAAGACTCTCGATAAAAGATCGTAGTCCCTCAATGTCCCTCGATGTTGCCTTCGGTAAATGATCTAGTCCCTAATGAAAATTGCTAAAACGTCCCATAGGTTGCCTTCTATGACTATACAAATGACCCACGCCCGTCCCTTCACATCCAATGATGGGGCTTCTTATCAATGAATGGTAAGATAGAAACATCTAAAGGAGGAGGAAAAGAACATAGACCTTTCGAGTAGGTAGGACGCCTGTAGTTACTTGCTTGCTCACAATTAAAAAACCATTTTCACACCAACACTTTCAAATTGAAATATTTTCAAAAGTCAAAACACTTTGTACACATTCTTATAGAGACGAGAATCATTACAAAGGAACTTTTCAAAATCACTTTCAAAAACATCTTCCACAACAAACATCTCTTTGAACTATTTTCAAAAGTAACACTTTGTACACATTCTTATAGAGACGAGAATCATTACAAAGGCGTTTTCAAAATATTTTCAAACCCACACCACAAGCACATTTTCAAACAAAAGCAAGTGATCTAGAAAGCAACTAAGAGCCTGTAGATAACTACGGATGAAAAGGGTGCTAATACCTTCCCTTTTCATAACCTCCCCCCCAAACTCAAGAAAACATCTCTAAAGGTCTTTCCTATTCTTTTCACCCTTTCTTTATTGGATAAAAGAAAAGTCGATGGCGACTCTTTCTATCTGCAACAATTGCGATCAAACGCACAACAACCAAGTTAGTTCTTCCACCGTATTACAACTTACAATCACCACAATGATACCTACAACCACAAACCTTGTGACTAGACTTAAATCAATCACAATCACAGTGATGGTATAAAAGAAAACCCAACAGAAGATTATACTTCAAATCAACAACACTTAGTTAAAACTCTTAACTAAGAACAATACTTGGTTTGTTTAAAAGCTTCTCCCAAGAACAATACTCAACTCATTACCTAAAGGCTTCTGAGTGAGAACACTACGTCTACCACAGGTATCAAAAGATACAAGGGTGACTTACAAACACATGAACACAAGAGACTCTCAAAACCTAAGACTTAGACTTCCGCTAATTTTATAAAAAATTAAAATACATTAGGTCTAGGTCTTCCTTTTTATAGCTGTCCATGGACTTCGAAATCTTCGCCCAAATATTCCTTGATCTACAAGCTAAGGGCTGCAACAATTATATAAAAAAAATCTCCTTAAATCTTGGAACACGTCTTCAAGTTTCTTAAAATAGTAACTCTTGTACAATTGTAGACCAAATCTCTTGTTCTAGATTAAATCTTCTTGACTTACGAAAATAACTGAGTTATATCCAAAAGGAATCTCAAAAAATCATATCAAATATGTCAAGAGATATGAAACAACAGTGTCTGCTGTATCAGACCACGATGTCACATCTACTTCGATATCAGGTTGAAAACTCATAACAACAAAATTGTCATGACAACTGATGCAGATGTTATAACATTTTGCTCAACATTAATATTGAACCATATTTTATCAAAATGTAGCCAATCATAAAACTATGGAACTAACAAATTTTAAGTACAAAGTCTTTGTGAATATTTGTTTTATTGAAATAGAAATCAAACAACAAATATGTACACAATATTTTAAAAATCAAATCAAAAGAGTTGATTTGATTTGTTTTTTTAATTAGGAGAAAATTTAGATACAATTTCTTAGGTGTGGTTTATATATTTTCTAATGAAAATATGACAAGTGTATAATTTCCTTCTACACATATGTAGTTTTCTCCTATTTTTACTCTCAAAAAGATATTTAAGTACAATTGTCTTATTTTCATTGAAAAATAGTATAAATCACACATAATGAATTGTATATAAATTTTCTCTTTTTAAATATCCATATCATGTTTAATTTCTATTTGAATAAAAATTGAATAAATAATCAAGATATTTAATCTTTTTAATTAAAAGTAAATTATAAATCTTTAAAATAAGATTAAAATCAAATAAATGGATATATATCTAAATAATTCTAAAGATTATAATCCAAATTAGATTCTCATCTTGATACTAATATAACTTTTAATCATAACTACGGATTACAAATGTGATTTTCAAAGATACTCAGTCAAATATGTATATTATATCTAAAAGTATTACTTCTTAAATAAATTTTAAAAGAAAATCTTAATTTAAATATTAAGAAAACAAATCATAATCTCTTTTTCACTTTATCTTTTAAAGCTTTTTTAAAGAAATTTTCACCAATGCCAAATAGTTAAATTTTCCAAAAATTTATATACATTTAATTCTAAATATATTGGTGGTGATCGGATGTATACTGTTGCCATCAGATATTGTATACTGAAAACGGAGAAAAAATATTTTAACTTTTATAAAATAAAATAAAAAAGTATTATTGACCTAACAACCAACACTACTGAGAAATTATAATTATAACTGTTAAAAATAAAATTGTGGTGATCAGATGTGCGATATAGTGGAATAAGGATCATCTCCTGCCTTTTTCATTATGATTCCATTCTGTCTTAAATCCAATGGTTAAAAAAATAAATGAATACAATTAAGTAGAAGGGAGATAAACAAAATATAAATCTAATGGTTAATATTATTGAGGCAGAAGAGAGTGAACAACAGAGAATCCATATCCGATATAGTAAAACTATAACCTATGTAAATAAATCGTCTTAACATCCATTCATATCAAACACATATTAACTAATTTTTTATATAATCAATTACTTAATTTGATCTATAATCAATTACTTAATTTGATCTACAATCAATTAAATATCATAATTAATAATAACTAATTAAATTAAATTAAAATATATGTTAATATATAATTTAATAAGATATTTCAACAATGTAATTATTACAATTATTTTCATTATATTAAATTATTTATTGGAAAATTTATATTTAGACTTTTTTTATTGTGGAAATTTTTTTTTTTACTCAAAGTTGTTTTTGACCCGAGACAGTGTCTCTGTGGATTGCATTTCAATGAATCCTGACCAAAATACAATATATTTAAAACCTGTTGACTGTATCTTTTTCAATTGAAAATGACTATAAGTATATATTTTGCTTGTATGAGAACCAACATTTTCATATGTATCTACACAAATACTTATCCATAAGAGGTTATAAAAGGCTAGCCAAAGCTCATTGAATCTAAAACACAAGGAAAAAAAACAATGGATAGAGAGTGTTCAGTTCCATCATTGAAGAAAAAATTGTTACATGAAGAAAGTCTTCTTCTTGAAACAAAACAAGAGACTCGACAAAGAAAGCCTGGATGGAAAGCCATGCCTTATATTTTAGGTACGCTTCTTAATATCATATAAGTTTAATGGAAATGCACCAACACCGTAAAATAATTTTACATTGTCGTCCAATGAAAGTTCATCATCACTCAGCTATATAATTTGATATTATGCTTTTGAGAAATGATGGATTAATATTGGAGAATAAATGTGCAGGAAATGACACTGGTGAGAGGTTGGCAACATTTGGAATGCAAACAAACTTTGTAATCTATTTGATGAAAGTGTATAACATGGATCAAGTTCTTGCTGCAAATATTATGAATACTTGGATAGCTGTCTCTAATATTGTTCCTCTCATTGGTGCTTTGGTTGCTGATGCATACCTGGGAAAATTTCGTACAATTGCTGTTTCTTCCTTTGCCAGTCTTATGGTATGTTTTCATTAGGTTTTGTGTTCATTGCATGCATGATTTTAAAATATTTTACTCAATGATTTATCATTTTAGAGTTTTTGTTTAATAATGCATGCATGCATGCAATCACCAAGAATATAATCAACCACATGTATAATATCATAATATATTTTGTAAAATAAATTATTTGGTTTTCACTAAAAATGTAACATATGTAACCTTATAGGAGGTTAATACATATTTTAAAATAATTTATTTTCTTTTATTTTTCATGTATTAAATATAATTCTTAGAATTATTTGCTTATATACACTATACCAATGAAAGTTATTAGTGATTTTCCGAGAAAACAGTAAATAAAAGTCTTTATACATATAATTTTTTTTATTTTCACTTAAAAACTTACGTTGATATATATATATTCTTACGACAAATTAGTACATATTTTTAAATAATTCATTTTATTTTTGATGCATTAAATATGAGTCTTAGAAATTTTTGCTTATATATATAAAACTAAATGTATGTTTAACAATTTGAATTATTATATTATAGGGATTGATGATACTAATGCTGACAGCATGGATGCCACAGCTTCATCCAGCACCATGTTCAATTGAACAGCAACAAGTTGGTGTATGTAATGGCCATTCAAATTTCCAGCTATGGATCTTAATTTTTGGTCTATTCTGGTTATCAATTGGCACTGGGGGAGTTAGACCTTGCAGCATTCCATTTGCAGTTGACCAATTTGATATGAACACTGTTGAAGGAAGACAAGGAAGTAGCAGTTTCTATAGTTTGTACTACACAACACAAACAATAATCATGTTGATAAACCAAACTATTGTGGTTTACATTGAGGATTCTGTTAGTTGGACTCTTGGTTATGGAATTTTCACTCTCTTTATGCTACTTTCAATTATAGTTTTCTTTGCTGGTACTAGAGTTTATGCTTATGTTCAACCAGAAGGAAGCATATTATCTAGCATTGCTCAAGTGTTGGTTGCAGCTAGACACAAGAGACACCGCCATCTTCCCGCGATGGAGGACACACAAGAAGCTTTTTATGATCCTCCATTGCTGAATGATTCAGAAGGAAAATTGCCTCTTACAAAAGAATTTAGGTAAAGTAGTATCTCTTATCTCACTGATCATGGGTTGTTTTAAGTTTTCAAAGGCCCAGTATAGGTTAGTCACAATCTATTTGTTGCAAAACAAATAGGGTCATTTTTCCACGATTTAACATTGACAAATATTTTATAAAATATTTTTAGCTATAGTTTAACTGTCTCAAATTTGAGACCTTATGCGGTAGTCTGTCTTGTATGTTCTCATTGACGGTCTTGTTGATGAAGTCCTTAATTTCTAACTATTGATTTTTTTTTTGTTTGTTATAGATGTTTAAACAAAGCTGCTCTTGTGGTTGAGGAGAACGAGATAAACAATGATGGATCAATCAAAGATCCATGGAAACTTTGTAGCATCAAACAAATAGAAGAACTAAAATGCATGCTCAAAATAATGCCAATATGGGTAACAAGCATCATAATGTTTATTCCAGTAGGGCAACTATCAATATTTTCCATCTCACAAGCTTTGAAAATGGATAGAAACATAGAATTCGTCAACTTTGAAATCCATGCAGGCTCAATAAATGTAATTTCATTAGTAGCAATAGGTATATTCCTACCATTTTATGATCAAGTACTTTCGCCTTTACTCGAGAAAATCACAAAACAAGAACAAGGACTGACAACCCTTCAAAGAATCGGTCTCGGACATGGATCAGCAATTTTATCAGTAGTAATTGCAGGGTTGGTTGAAAAAAAGAGAAGAGAATTAGCCATTTCAATGGGAGATCCGGACGGCGTGGCGCCTATGTCGGTAATGTGGCTAGCTCCTCAGTTTTTACTAATAGCAGGTTGTCATATATTTGGAACAGTTGGACACACAGAGTTTTTCAACAAAGAGTCACCAGATAGCATGAGAAGTATAAGCAATTCATTGCTATGTCTGAATCTTTCGGTTGGTAGTAACCTTAGCACATTTATAGTTAACATTGTGCATTCTTATACTGGGAAACAAGGTGAAGAAGATTGGCTTGATAGTGATATTAATAAGGGGAGATTGGAATACTTTTATTTCATCATTGCTGGATTGGTTGTGTTGAATTTCTGCTATTTCATATTCTGTGCGAGAAAATATCGTTACAAGTCTACTTTGTTGAAAGGATGA